GTACATGTAGATACATTGTGACATATACCTGACATATATCTATATATGGTCTTGTGGTACATGTAGATACATGTTGACATATACCTATATCTGGTCCGGTGGTACATGTGGATATATTGTGACATATATCTATATATGGTCTTGTGGTACATGTAGATACATTTTGACATATACCTATATCTGGTCTGGTGGTACATTTAGATACAATGTGACATATACCTATATCTGGTCCGGTGGTACAGGTAGATACATTGTGACATATACCTATATCTGGTCTGATGGTCTTGAAGATACATTGTGACATATATCTATATATGGTCTGATGGAACATGTAGATACATTGTGACATATACCTATATCTTGTCTGGTGGTACATGCTCGACAATTAAGAACGTTCGAAACGTACCCCATCAATGCTCAATACTCAATGACATATATCTATATATGGTCTTGTGGTACATGTAGATACATTGTGACATATACCTATACCTGGTCTGGTGGTACATGTAGATACATTGTGACATATACCTATATCTTGTCTGGTGGTACATGCTCGACAATTAAGAACGTTCGAAACGTACCCCATCAATGCTCAATACTCAAACTGAAAATTACCCCTCAATATTCAATACTCAAACTGAAAAGTACCCCTCAAAACATAAACTGAAAAGTACCCCTCAAAACCCAAACTGAAAAAGTACCCCTCAAGACTCAAACTGAAAGGTACCCCTCAAGATTCAAACTGAAAAGCTGAAATATGTAAACACCAACTATGTAAACATCATAATTCACTGGCTTAGAATATTAAAAAAAACATATTTTTTTTTAAAAAAATCTTAGCTTCTAAACCTTAATCTTAGTGATATGTGATAGTGTACATAAGCCATATTGTATAGCATTGCCCCGCTAGGAGAGAACGATCCTGATAGCGGTATAACATCCTCACTTTTAAACAGGAGCAAGTCAAACATCACAACATCAAACCAGCAGTTGACGTAATAGACCGGCTGTTAATACATTAAGTAGAATGAAATATCTCAATCCAATAGGTATTTGTTTATTTATCTCCCATATCCCTCCGTCCATCAGACGTCTGGTCATAATCATGGCGGGACGGCCTGCCTCTAGTCGCACATCTGCATGGTATCTCGTCCTACGTTTCTTCTTTTACATCACCACACTCTGTTTACTCTCAAAGAGATATAAAGCTGGGAAACAATAAAAGTGGAAAGAAAATTGAACATGTGATATATTTCAAAACGGGTAATGTTTGTGAAGCATACATTAGTCCCAACTCCACCTTAACTGGAAATGAAGCTGAACGCATAGTCTAATTAAAGTGAGTAAAACGACTGAAAAAAGGTCACAGTGACCTACGTTAATTTGATGTTTAGGTATGTACTCCTAAAGAGGTATCTGCAAACTATTGGGGAATTAGAGCTAGATGCAGAATGAAACACATGAATAGAGCTATATGCAGAGTGTAACCGCGTGAATAGAGCTAGACGCAGAGTGGAAACCACGGAATAGAGATAGACGCAGAGTGTAACCACATGTAATAGAGCTAGACGCAGAGTGTAACCACGAGAATGGAGCTAGATGCAGAGTGTAACCACGAGAATGGAGCTAGACGCAGAGTGTAACCACACGAATGATGCTAGACGCAGAGTGTAACCACGAGAATGGAGCTAGATGCAGAGTGTAACCACACGAATGGTGCTAGACGCAGAGTGTAACCACGTGAATAAAGATAGACGCATAGTGTTACCATGCCAATGGAGCTAAACCAGAGTGTAATCATGCGTTTGGAGCTACCAGCAGAGTGTAACCACGAGAATGGAGCTAGATGCAGAGTATAACCACACGAATGGAGCTAGACACAGAGTGGAAACCACGCGAATAGAGCTAGACGCATAGTGTAACCACGTGAGTAGAGCTAGACGAAGAGTGTAAATGAACTTAGACACAGAGTGTTACCACGCAAATAGAGTTAGACACAGAGTGTTACCACGCTAATAGAGCTAGACGCAGAGTGTAACATGCGATTGGAGCTAGACGCATAGTTAAACCACACGAATGGAGCTGTAACCACTTACATGGAGCTAGATAGCTAGATGCATAGTAAAACCACGGGAATGGAGCTTGACGCAGAGTTTAACCACGCGAATGGCTAGACACAGAGTGTAACCAGGCGAATAAAGCTAGACACAGAGTGTAACCACGCTAATAGAGCTAGACTAGAGTGTTACCACGCGAATGGACCTAGACACAGGGTGTGAACACGCTAATAGAGCTAGACGCAGAGTGTTACCATGCGATTGGAGCTAGACGCATAGTTAAACCACACGAATGGAGCTGTAACCACGCACATGAAGCTAGATAGCTAGATGCATATTAAAACCACGGGAACGGAGCTCGGAACACGCTGCTAAAGTTGAGAAAGTTAAACGACCCACGCTCAGTGCCGCAGGATCTAGCGAGGAGTGGGCATATTCCAATCTCGGTGGTCGGACTATGTCAGTGCCACGAAAATCACTGGACGCGATAAAGTAATCCAGCTACTAGAAAGCTGTGACGAGCCATTACGGTAAGACTTGACACGATCAGCCGGTGGTAGCCTCGCTGACAAAACCATGGATGAGGTTTTAGCTGCAATTAAAAAGCTTGTAGTACGTGAGGAAAACACTATGGTTGCAAGAGTGACGCTACACAATATGCGACAGGATCGTAATGAAACTGTCCGGAGTTACGGTGCTAGACTTAAAGGACAGGCCGGTATATTCAAGTTTGTGATAAAGTGCCCCGGATGTACAGCCGACGTCAATTACACTGACGCTATCATGCGTGACGTACTCACCCGGGGAATTGCCGATCCGGAAACACAACTTGATCTGCTAGGACACAAAAATCAGGACATGAATCTTGAGGATGTATTTCAATTTGTCGAATCAAAGGAAGCCGGTAAACGTTCAGCTTCTAGACTTTCAGTTGAGGCTGCCAGCAGCTCATACCGGAAAAGCAAGGCTGACAGACCGTCGTCCAAAGACACCTCCAACAAAGCAGAGCAATGTGCATATTGCGGAAAAAAGGGACACGGCAAATCTGCCCTTGCTCGCATACGTAAAACAGAGTGTACAGCATATGGACACATATGTGGGCATTGCCATCGCGAACATCATTTTGAAATTGTATGTAGAAGCAAGGACAAACCCAAAGTGACACACCGTGATACACTTTCCGGAAGTGCTTTGTTCGACGCATTGTGCTCTGTTCATGATTCTCTACAACATCATCACTGTACCGTTAGTGATTCTGGCATCGAACGCTCAATCTGCATCGACCACCATGTCTATGACGAACTGAGGAATTCCTGAGTGAAACAACGCTCCAAGCCTCAACCATTCGTGAACGTGAAGGCTAAAGTTACTGCTGAGGACTACGCCGCCCTAGGCTTCAGACTTACACGAGACACCATCAACGTCTCAATACAGGCTATGGCTGACACGGGATGTCAGAGTTGCCTCGCTGGCTTGAAAGTGATCCGCCGCCTTGGTCTACGAGAATCAGAACTCATACCTGTGACGATGCAGATGCACACGGCTACATACGGTGGTATCAAAATTCTTGGGCGACCATCCTTCGCTTGATTGGTATAGACAAGGCATGAAACACCAAGGAGATCAGACAGATGACATATGTCACAAGCTCAACAGACAAGCTCTTCCTCAGTCGCGAAGCCTGCGCTACATTAGGTATTATCCACGATTCATTTCCAACCGTCGGAGCTCAAGTCCCTTCAGCTAGCATACATGTCGATGCTACTTTCGCCTTACCGGATCACCAAGTCAAAGCATGCAATTGTCCTACACGCCAACTGCCACCATCGCCTCCGACAAAACTGCTTTCCCTGCTACAACGGAAAACGTTGGTCACTTAAAAGGTTACCTTCTTGACCACTACAAGTGTAGCACATTCAACACATGTGAACACCAGACTTTACCACTCATGAATGGACCTCCCTTGGACTCCAACGCGAAACCTGTCGCTCAACATACACCAGTACCCGTTCCAATCCACTGGCAGGGTGCAGTAAAGGCTGGACTAGACCAGGATGTTCGTTTGGGGGTTATTGAACCTGTTCCGGTTGGTGAGCCTGTCACTTGGTGCCATAGAATGGTTATTTGTGCGAAAAAGAATGGTACCCCTCGGCGCACTGTTGACTTCCAACCCTTAAATGCACATGCCACTCGCGAGACTCATCACACCCCTTCGCCATTCCACCAAGCCCGGTCTATTCCACATGGAAAGAAGAAGACATTATTTGATGCATGGAATGGTTATCATAGTGTACCCATCTGCAAAGAGGACAGACACTTGACCACGTTCATTACTCCTTGGGGGAGGTACCGTTACAAAACTGCACCCCAAGGCTACATTGCATCGGGCGACGGATACACCAGGCGCTATGACGAGCTTGTTTCGGACATCCCCAAAAACACCAAATGTGTCGACGATGTTCTTTTATGGTCAGACACTGTTGAAGAAAGCTTCTTTCAGGCAGTCCAGTGGCTTGACATATGCGGCCGTAACGGTATAACGCTGAACCCTGACAAATTTGTATTTGCAGAGGACACGCTCGAATTCGCTCGATAGTGTACGGCCTTCACAGAAATACCTACGCGCCATCCTGGATTTTCCGACACCCAGGAACATCACAGATGTGCGGTCATGGTTTGGACTAGTCAATCAGGTATCGTATGCCTTCAGTATGACTGAGAATATGCTTCCTTTCCGTCACTTGCTCAAACCAGATCAACCGTTTCAGTGGACTGAAGATCTCCAACGACTTTTTGAGGAATCTAAAATTGTCATTGCCAACGAGATTGAGCAGGGTGTACGGATTTTCGACCCAAGTAAATTGACGTGTCAGACTTGTCAAAGACTGGCATTGGATTTTGGTTGCTACAGAAATATTGCGCTTGTGCTAATGAAAGCCTGCTATGCGCCGTGATGGTTGGAAAGTTACACTCGTAGGTAGTCGGTTCACACATGCGGCAGAGACGCGTTACGCGCCGGTTGAGGGCGAGGCCCTAGCAGTAGCAGATGGCCTTGATAAAGGTCGACACTTCGTTCTTGGGTGCGACAACTTGATCATAGCTGTTGATCATAAGCCATTGTTGAAGTTGTTTGGCGATAGATCACTGGAAAACATTCCTAACAACAGACTTCGTAACCTCAAGGAGAAAACACTACGATATCGCTTTCGAATGCTTCATGTGCCTGGCATACGACATCGTGCTGCCGATTGTATCTCCCGACATCCTATTGGTGAGCCTGAGAAACTTGTGCTCGAGGACGACATTGCAGCACTGTCATTTTCTGCCTTCGACATCGCCCACTTTGGTCTAATGAGTGGTCTACGCATGCCTTCATCAGGACTAGCATTTGTCGAGGAGCATGTCGTGGCATCAGCTTCTTCAACACTAGATGCGATCAATTTACGATCCGTCACCTGGGAGCGCGTTAGAACCACTACTACCAGCGATGACAACATGCAGGCGTTAATCGCTCTGATAGAGGCCGGCATACCGGGAACCCGTCACGAGCTGCCTAGGCCACTGAAAGAATATTTCCCATTCCGCGACGACCTTCATACGGTTGATGGTGTAGTACTTTATAAAGACAGAATAGTCATTCCACCATCACTCCGGGAAGAAACCATTGCCTCTCTGCATTCGGCACATCAAGGGGTGACATCTATGACTTCAAGAGCTGACGCGTCAATCTTCTGGCCTGGTATCACGCCTGCCATCGCCTCTCTACGCGCAACTTCTAACCACTGCAACCGTATTGCTCCATCTAACCCGAATGCACCACCGACTCCTTTGATAACTCCTGACTATCCATTCCAATGCGTGTGTGCAGATTTCTTCCACTACATGGGCTGTAATTACCTAGTGGTAGTTGATCGTTATTCCAACTGGCCGGTGGTGGAGAAAGCCTCTGATGGTTCCAATGGTTTAATAGACTGTCTCCGAAGGACATTTGTTACTTTTGGTATCCCTGATGAACTAGCATCAGATGGTGGACCCGAGTTCACTTCTGCGGCCACACGTCGTTTTCTCAGGAACTGGGGCGTTCACCATAGACTGTCATCTGTAGCTTTTCCCCATAGTAACTGCCGTGCTGAAGTGGGAGTCAAAACAGTGAAGCGTCTGATCACTGGCAACACCAGTCCCAATGGCGACTTAAACACCGACGCATTCCAACGCGCTATTCTCCAGTATCGTAACACACCTGACAGAGACACAAAACTATCCCCTGCTATGTGCGTGTTCGGTCGTCCTATACGAGACTTTATTCCTATACCACCCGGTCGGTACATTCCACACAACACTTGGCTGGAGACTTTAGCAGCTCGCGAGGAGGCTTTACGGAATCGTCACATGCGAGAAAGTGAACGTTGGTCTGAACACACCAAACGCCTCTCACCTCTTGCAGTTGGAGATCATGTACGCATCCAAAATCAAGTTGGTCCTCACCCCCTTAAATGGGACAAGACTGGAATCATTACCGAAGTTCGCCAGTTTGATCAATATGTAGTTCGGGTTGACGGATCTGGCCGTGTTACCTTACGCAACAGGAAATTCCTAAGGAAGTATATCCCAGTCGTTACACCACCAGCGCGCTACACAATTGACAATCAAATTGGACTCTCCCATCGTACGACGTCTCCTGCTTCTAACGCCCCAGACACCGTCGTCGGTGAAGAAAGCAACCCTCCCCGTAAGGATACGAGTCCTCCACCATCCACTCCGTTGACTACTAGAACCATACAACGTTCGCCTCGTTCATCCTCTGATGTTGATCACCCTTCACCACCATTTGGTATTCGAGAAATCTTCAGTCGACGTCATCTAGCGTTTGATTCTCCTGCGACCCCAGTGAGCAAAATCACCACACCCGGGCCCGGCAACGATGCCATCTATCTCGACACATACGCCACAAGCAGTAGTAGTTCCGTCCCCTGCAACAATCCGGACTTCTGGTCGTGCCACAAAGAAACCAGCTTGGCATTCAGATTATAATATGTCCAAATAACAATTGACTTGTTTCTACTTGGAACATTTCCTAAGTGTTATATGTGTTGGGCAACTTTTCACGGAGACTCAGTGCTTCATTTTGTTTATTTTAGGACAATTAGTCGGACATTTCTTAATAATTCTCATATTTCACATCAGTCTTTGTTCCTAGGACTTATACGAGTGACCCTATTACTTACGTGTACCAAAGACTTGGGGGAGATAGAGGATTGTATGTTATGATTAGTTTCTATACGTAATTCATGCTAACTATCATTGTGCAATTTACCACTACTTTGTGTGTCTTTTCAGACCGTGTTCATTGCTGAATAAACATATTTAAAGTAAACGGAACAGAGTCCCATTTAGTTTTAAAGAACTGTGTTTCTGAGAGTGGTAGGTTTTTACATTTTTGTGGCCGTAGTATTTTTATATCTTTGTATATGGTAGTGGTAGTTTTATCTTTGTTTCTGGTATTTGTATGTTTAAATCTGTGTTTCTGATAGTGGTATTTTATATCTGTGTTTCAGATAGTGGTAGCTTTTCACTTTTTTGTGGCCGGTGTATTTTTATATCTGTGTTTCTGGTAGTGGTCGTTTTATATCCTTGTTTTGGTAGTGGTTGTTTTATATCCAATTTTGTAGTAGTGGTGCTTTTAATTAAGATAAAAATAAAACAGACGTTTATGTTTGTTTTAATTAATAATTTAATCGGCATCACAGTTAAGGTTTAGCGTTAATACAAAAATATCATTAACACTAGCGATATGACAGGGGAATGTGGACACACATTAAACATAACACAAATATACTCTTCAACATCAACAACCTACCACCCACAATGCAATGGGAATATCAGACCTAGAATAGTTTTATGCTTCAATACTGATGTTGGCTAATCGTAGATGTGTGAACGATACATGTACCATAGTTGAGTGTCTAACTTGAATGTAAACACCTAAACGTCACAGTACATAATTTACAAACAATTTCTGTACTGACTTTTGTCATCAACCTGATACAGCATACAGTGACCTTATACCCTGCTGAGGACTTCTGGATAAAGAGGATCAGGGTCATATCAGGCTCCACATATATAGACTACCGTCATCATCAATTTCTAGATTAGCACCTTTATAGCTACTTACCTAGCCTAACATTTACAAACACAACCACAATATACAGTACCATGTAGACATATAGCAAGTTTCACACTTAGAACAGAGATAAACTAGAACAGAGATATACTAGGTAGAGAGGTATATACAATCTCTGGCTTCAGTATAATGAACAGTATTAAGAACAAGTACAATTGTATATACAAACATAGGAAAGACGGTTTTTAGATTCTTTGTTTCAAGGAGACTTTTTGACAACAAGTAAACACACCAACACCAGCTGGCTATTCTCTGTATTAATCTGTACAGATATGGTATATGTAAAATATATGAGTAGAGATGTTTGAGATATGCAGATGGCAATATATTCAGATTAATTAGATTTCCTTACCCTTGTGACAGAACAGTTACCAATCTGAGCTGAGCTATAAGATGCTTTACATATTACAAATATTACAACTTTCAGATTGTCCTCTGGAATTAAATATTTAACGACAGAATCTGAAATTTCAAAACTAAAGCATCAGACAATTGTACATTCATACCCTTTCTCACTCACTGGTCTACAACAAACACACAATAAGTTTTATTTTGAAAGAAAAAAGAGTACAATTTATTGGTACCTTTGTCCTAAACTCAGTAATACTGTGAATGGTTTCGGTTCTAAGAAATCTCCTGATTTATTACGCACACGGTAGCCTGTATGTTGTAGAATTCTCCTGTTTTATTACGCACACAGTAGCCTGTATGTTGTAGAAATCTCCTGTTTTATTACGCACACAGTAGCCTGTATGTTGTAGAAATCTGTTTTATTACGCACACAGTAGCCTGTATGTTGTAGAAATCTCCTGTTTTATTACGCACACAGTAGCCTGTATGTTGTAGAAATCTCCTGTTTTATTACGCACACAGTAGCCTGTATGTTGTAGAAATCTGTTTTATTACGCACACAGTAGCCTGTATGTTGTAGAAATCTCCTGTTTTATTACGCACACAGTAGCCTGTATGTTGTAGAAATCTCCTGTTTTATTACGCACACAGTAGCCTGTATGTTGTAGAAATCTCCTGTTTTATTACGCACACAGTAGCCTGTATGTTGTAGAAATCTCCTGTTTTATTACGCACACAGTAGCCTGTATGTTGTAGAAATCTCCTGTTTTATTACGCACACAGTAGCCTGTATGTTGTAGAAATCTCCTGTTTTATTACGCACACAGTAGCCTGTATGTTGTAGAAATCTCCTGTTTTATTACGCACACAGTAGCCTGTATGTTGTAGAAATCTCCTGTTTTATTACGCACACAGTAGCCTGTATGTTGTAGAAATCTCCTGTTTTATTACGCACACAGTAGCCTGTATGTTGTAGAAATCTCCTGTTTTATTACGCACACAGTAGCCTGTATGTTGTAGAAATCTCCTGTTTTATTACGCACACAGTAGCCTGTATGTTGTAGAAATCTCCTTGGTTTTAGTTCACACGTGTACAGTATAATATTGTAGCCAGTGGTAGCCACACCTGGTATCCCACAGGGCCTCAATTACAAGTTGTGTTGACCAGGATGTTTAGGAGATATACCAGTTCCATTTACTTTCATCATCTTCATCATCATCACTTTCGTGTGCTCCTCCGTTCATCAGATTTGGAATGTGAGGCAGCCCCCTCCTGGAGTTCACTTTTCTCCAGATTCGCCTAAAAAAACATAAATTAAATCATTCCAAAAACTAAATCAATTAGGTTTCGGCCATACCAAGTGTACATTTTCGATTTCTTGCACAAGACATCAAACGAAATAAATGTATGTACATGTAGGTATGGACGGTATGGAAATTTTATCAAAGGATGTAGTATTTCAAATTAAAACCAAGGTTTGTGTAAACAAGGAGATAAGTGCACGATTTTAAACAATGTATGTTTTATTAGAAAACAAATGCTTCCCCATCCCTATTCCCTTTTTATAGTAAGGTTTTTGTCAGTTAACCTAAAAGAGAAAGATGACAAGCTTCTAATTAACAATGTTAACATGTAACAGGAACAATAGCTGGATGATATTCTGCCATAGAAATAGGAGATTTCCTCAACCTGATGCAAGGTTAGCCATTGAGGTACAATATGATAAAATAAATAATACATTCAGAGGAAGGTTAGTGCCACTGCCCAGAGAATATCAATTACACTCAGCCTCAAATCTGAGGCCAGTGATAATCTCAAAGGGACACTCAGCATACATATACACAAGTATGGAGAACAAACAAACTCAAGCATGGAGAACATACTTTTACAGGTAGACAACTCTTAAATATCTCTGGATATACAATTGTACAGCTGTATGCAATGCTAGTAATACTGAGCATTCAGTACATACTCTAAAGTTACAAGGGAGTCAGGCTCATGCTCCCAACTATAAATAGATCTA